TGAAGTGAAGATAAAGCCTTTTTTAGTTCCGAGTCAGGCGTTGAATGTACTTCGTTAAGAAATTTTTTTTTTGTGTGCGAGATGAGGTTGGGCGCCAAATGCTTGAGGCCGTAATTGGTCGGTTTACTCGTATTGTTGTTTCCTGATTGCCACCTTTCAATGTTATAAAATAGTATAGTTACATTTATACCTGTGCTAATATTCGAATAATTTCTCTTTATCACATGAATTATTCAACTATCTAAATCTTGATATTTTTTTTTTTTTTACAAAAAATATATTTTAATTACATGTAAAATATAGAGGTGTTTTATCTTTTTATTAGCATTCTCTTTTTTGTAATCTTTGAATACCTACTTACGCTAAAATTATATTAATTACTTTAGTAATTGTAGCAATGTTCCAATATTTTCCAGTTATATTTATTAAATATTTTAGTACACGTTTCATTTGCTTTTATTGGAAATCAAAACTGTCCATTTCTTCTGATTAATAATTATAAACATCATTTATTGTTGTATAAATGTATTATAATTCCCCCAGACCCATTAGGGAAACGAGAAAAAATTCAAAACTGCGCAACAGAGAATGTGAAATAAAATGTCGTATCTACGTCATATTAAAAGGATTAATTGTTGCTAAGTTATGATGACATGGTGACGAAATCATGTTAAGTAGTATATCTTTAGGTATATATATATATATATTAATATGAGTTCATTTAATGCTATTTGAGTGACGTGGATTCTAATTGTGGATGCTATATGACATCATAACTCCTATCCTTCTATTGGACCCTGTATTTCACTTCCCGGAAACAAATACACTGTCATGTTGTTAATCAATCATGTTAAACCTGGATGCCTCGCCATCTCTTAATTATACTAGAAATTCTTTTTTAAAACTCATCCCCTCTCTTTCACACTCACACACACACACAAATATATATATATTTCGGTTTTCTCAGATCACGTAGAACATATATATAATGTGTGAGTTATCACTGGAGTATACAAGTATATTTTATTTCTTCAATAAACAAAACAAATTGACAGATTGGGAAGGCCCCTTCAAGTTGTGTGTTACATAAAAGAATATGGTTATACATAACTATGCTTAGCCATTTGTGCCGTCCTTAGACATTTGAGACCCCTCTGGAATAATATCTCCATCGCGGAAAAAAATGATAATTTTTTTTTAAATATTTAATAATACTTGAATTATTCAATATATCAGAATCCGCCTTTCCGATTGGTTAATTGGAAAATGACCATATTGACCACTGGCGGATCCAGGATTTAATTTTTGCCCGAAAGTTTTTTTTTTCATGCACATTACGGTAATTACTTTGAAAAAAAAAAGGATACTAACTACCTATATTGGTTTTTAAGTGATTCTTGAAGTACTCTCAATAAACAGAATTACACAAACAATAATACTTTAGGAGATAATTTTTAAATATTTTTTTTCCATAAAACATGGTTACGTTTTGCCATTTTGGAGGGGGGTGGGGGAAGGATTTGAGCCCGAAAGCACCCCCTCTCCCTTCGATACTGGCTATTCTCTGCAGTACAAGTGAGTCCTTCGTTCGCAGGGCAATTGTCCCCACAGGCGGATCAAAGGAAGGCTGAAGCCTCCCCCCAAAATGGTAAAATGTAACCATGTTTTACAGAAAAAAATATTAAAAACTATCTCTTAAAGTATTCTTGTTCGTGTAATTAATAGAACTTCAAAAACTACTTAAACACCATTTCATATAGGTAATTAATTTTTTTTTCAAATTAATTATCTTTATATGTATATGAAAAAAAAATCTTTCGGGCTGAAGCCCCTCCCCAAAAATTAAATCCTGGATCCGCTAGTGATTGTCCCAGGACTCCGAGCTGGAGGAACGCTCATTGGGGGGAGGCTCTTGTTACTTGTTAAAAAGAAAATAAATACAAATCGTATAACACAAATAATTAATTTTAGCTTATCAATATGGCAACTTTATTAGAGAAATGTCGAATGAAATAAAATTAAAATATTAAATAACATAAAAAAGCTTAAGAAATAAATTATTGAAGGAAGTTAGTCGACTGTTCTACATATCATGGGTGATAAATATTCAGGAGGCAGTCTTTTTTAAAAGTTTTTTTATTTTATTATATTATTTAATTATTTTATTATATTAATTTTTTTTTTAAAAAGACTGCGTCCTGAATATTTATCACCCACCTTAAGAAATAAAGATAACTTTTAGGGAATGATGTGACGTCCAAGGCAGGCAGTGCAGTGATAGCTATAATGTGTGTTATTGAGGAGTGTGGTTGGGTATGTATGCTTTGTTTGGTTTCCCAATGTATGTTAAGTGAAATTGCATATTTAAGGGTGGTATATACCTCACATATTACGGAAACTTTTTCGTCAAAATCGGCCAACCGGAAGTGGCACTTAATATCATCGATGAAACACATTTTTACGATTTTCTCGAAAACGGCTCCAACGATTTTGATTAAATTCATTATATCAGTGTAAAATTAAGCAGTTTTAATATCATGCAGGTTTTATTCTCATTGATGTCCTCTAACAGGGCTTAAATGGCTAATTTTCAACATTAGCTTCCTCTAAAGTACCATTAATTTTTTTCATTTGAAACAACCATATCACATTGATTTCTAATATAAAAAATAGTTCAATATAAAATATGAAAAAATTTGACAATTGACTAAAGGAGAAATAAGAAATCGTAACGCATAATAGTTTTAATGGAGAAAACAAATACGAGAGCGCCCCAGATCGCCTTAAAGATTAATTAGGACCTGCTTCCATACTAACATGAACTTAATATTATAATAAGGACTTCGAGAATATTATGCACATATATATTCATATGCGGTTTTCATAAACGCTATCGTTGGTATTATTTAATAGTTTAGATTACAGTGATATAAAAATTAAAATTTGTATACATAAGGGCATTTAAACAAATAAAAATACCCACAATGAAATGTAAATAAATATAGCGTATATAATTTTTGCTTTCAGTTCCCCTTGGTCTAAAAATTCTTATTTCTGCTTAGAAGGTGGTAAATGAAAGTCATGTGAAGCGTGCACCAGGTTTTTTTGTGATGATTTGTTATTTCAGATTAAGCTAAATCTTAAGAGAGAACGGATTGATTGAAAAGTTGTTTATCAGGAAAGCCAACATCTCACTAATGTCCATACTCATATTATATCAGGGTCAACCATCTCTACATCATTGTCCATACTCATAATTTTTGTCACATTGTTAATGTTGTCAGATTTGTGAAAAACTTAATAAAAATTGACATAAACTAAATATAATTCACCTAGGCAGGTGGATTCAGAAGGGTGTGGCATGGCCCTAGTTGCGATTTGAAGGGGAGCACATTTCGATCGAACTATATTCTTGGTGGATTTTGATTTGGAGCACTTTCGAACCAGGAAACCGACCACTGCCAGTTATTGTAAATAAACTAGGCTTTTTATAATGCTACTTCCACTGCACAGTTTGTAAGAAGAGTTCAATAAATTGCCTGGAAGCTATGTTTGGAACCTTTGGACCGTGAGAGCAATGGCCTGGCGAGACCCCTGCACCTGGCGAGTGGACTCTTTAAAAAACACCAAACTTGGATTTGCTACTTCTCTGCAGAAAACTAGCCCATTGTTTATGTCAACTTTTGTGTAGGTCTTGAGGTCTCTTACCACTCCTATCAAAATTTCCCTCTACTTACAGGACACCCTGTATGTATATATCTATGTGCAGACCAGTATTACTTATCACCTTATATTTATTAGCTTCTAAATGACATAGAATGTACATATATATTATAGGTTATTTGATATATAACAATTTTGAAATAATAAACCATTGTATGATAATTTGAGCAGCTTTCGTGCATGTTGCCCATGAGATAATTTATAAACCTTTTTTCACATTTTGGTATTTCACCTGAACCATGCTTTCTGTTAGGTGTCTGGATGTATGGTAGGACTAATGTTTAAAACTGACAAACCTTCTGTTGCTTATGTAGATACTGGACTAGTATCATACTTTTGTAAACTCTAAACTTTTTAATTTCAAACTCAACTTTATCAACATATTTTCTATTATACACACATAATTTGTGTACATTATATATATATATATGGAGAGTGGGATGGCTCAATGGTAGGGTGCTGGCTTGATACATAACCATACAAAGTGCTCAACCCAATAACCTTCAAAAGTTGGAGTGGTACATGTTTTTATAAATACATATATATACACACAAATAAATAATATTGTATAAGAATGTTCTACAATAAAAACTTATTTTTAGCATATTTTTTCTTAGGTTGTTGAGGTTAGGATAAAATGATTGAAATATTGTTCAATTTTGCATCAATTACCTTTAATAATAATAATAATAAAAGATAATATAACCAATGGCTAATACACATCAAGATTCAAGGTGAGACGAAACAATAGGTGCTGCAATGAACAAAGAGCAATCAGTCATCTTTTCAGATAAAGACTATCATTATAATTATGAATTATATATGGCATGGTTACTGACAATACCATACTCCTTACAAAAAGACAAAAAAAAAACCCTCTACTACAACAATCCATAAAGCATCTTGGGTTCAGTACTTTGTAAAGAAGTATTGTTTCAAGGACAACATGGAGGTGATTGGGCCGAGATCACACTTTCCTCTTAATTATTTCTTTAAGAGTATCCACTATACAGAGGCTGGATGTGCCTCACGAGGATCTCCCGACCACAGGTTCGATCCTCGGCTGATGAATAAATAATTACCTGCCGTCATGCGGATTTGAACCTAGGATCTTGAGCATGATCTCAGTGCCTTACTCACAGAGCTGCCCATTACCAACAACCTCATTATGTCAATTAAAAATGCTTTGTTCCTTCACAGAATGTAAAACCATAAAGTTATTTATTTATCAATACCAATCTCATGGGTTAAAAAGGAAACAAAACGAAAAGTCTGTTAGATGGTAAAAAAAATCTATTTTTTTACAATATGATTTAGGAGGGATAAAAGATACTATGTACAGATGAAAAAATAAATATAACAATGGTTATTTCTTCTTCCGATCGGCGGTACACTTTGGGCAGAACCACTTCCCCTTTGGTTTGGTAGTCAGCCCAACACAGGCAAAGTGAAACCACTCTATTGGGCACTGCAACATTAAATATACAAATGAAAAAACTTTAATTATTGATAAATTAAATAATAAATGGTATAAATCAGAATGAGTGAGGAGAAGAGAACTAATCAGAAAGTGATATGTTTTTCTGCTCTGATATGAAGCCTTCATCGGTAAAATTTGGACTGGTTAATTTATAAATCATCACATCTTAAGTGATTATATCCAAGAAGAAACATTTGTAAAAGTCTTATATTAAATTTCTTTAATTAGCTTACAATTACCAACTGGATTTTCCACAAAAGATATTTTCTAATTCATACCAAGGAAAAACATGCAAGTTTTATTATTAATATTCGATAAGAATTTTAATAAAATTTACCTAGAAAATTTCCAGTTTCACTTATCTGTGTATGAAATATGTAGCAAGGGAAAATATTTTGATTGTGCTTTTGTTTGAAATAACTACTGCAACAATTACTTCTAACTCTCTCATTGTTAGAAGAAAAAACAAAACAAAACAAAAAAAAAGAATAAATATTAATTGCAAGAGAATTTTAAGATAAAGGAGAAATATTGTTCCAGGTTGAAAACCAATTTTGAGGAAATAAAATAGCATTTTAATAATAAGTACCATTTTTACAGCAATAAACGTATATCCTACCATTGAAAAGCTAAATATAATTAAATATAAAGTCATAAAATTTAATGGAGAGATAAGAAAAAATAGATAATTAACTAACTAATATTATTAATTAAATTAATGGGACCACGGTAGTCGAGCAAGTTAAGACGCCGACAAAAATCATAGTGTAAAACTACTCTTAGTGCAAAAGGATGCACATGAAAATTTTCCATTTTTATTCTAGAAATAATCAGTTTTTAATGCAGGATTTGCCTAGAAGGGAAATCGTTCCCGAAAGGAGATAAATTCAAATACCTTGCCTAACAATATTCTTAATGAACGACCAACGGTCAGGAACAGACCAGAGTATAATAAGCATGAACAAAATCTTTACTGAAGAATGTACAATGTTATGATAAACCCAGTTCTGATATACGGCTGCAAGACCAATTTTTCAAGAAATTTCTACACAACAATGAATGCCTCAATAGCTGGCAAGAAACCATGAAGACCAAAAAGCCAGAAGGATAGAACGACTAGACAAAGATACATTACAGCTGGATGCGCAAGCAGATAATTAGAAAACAATAACCTATAATAGAAGATAGGCAGGTTGATTTATCTGGCAAAAGATCTACTAAGCCTGTACTCCCAAATCCTACATTTTCTTACACTTTTACCACCCTCCTATTTTTTTCACAGTTGAAAAAGAAATTAACAATTTACTCCCCTTCTTAGACTTTTCACCATTATTATAAGAAACATTAATAGGTTGCTATCTACTGATTTGAATACCAAGCCCACATACTCACTCCTTAAAATGTTTTGTTAACATCCATGCCATCAGAAAATCAATATCGCCAAAAAGCTAATGCACCATCTCTCTATCTGATCCCCAATAGTATAACAATAGATTTACAAGAATAAAGTAAACGAAAATGTTGTTCAACTCACGTCAGGATTGTCACAGCCGATCATCTCGCCATAAGAGACCTGGTGGCAGAGGCAGTAGGTGGGCTCGTTGGGGTCCACGGGCATGTCCAGCACTTCCGTCCCGAGCCCTGGCGATTCCTCCTCCTTCGTCTGTCTCGCGGATGCTCCTCCGCTACCGATGGCTGCAATCAAATCATCAAGGCTGTCTAGTCAACAAGTATTTAATTTAAAAATATTCCACGAGTAATAAAAACTAATCATGGCTTTCTATAATGTGGAAGATTAGAAAAATAGAGAACAGACGATACTTATCCTACAGGTAACCAAACTATTCTAACCAGAGAAGAATGGTTGAGATTCATTCTGTGGGTTTAATAAGAAATAAATATGAAATATGTTTTAATACCTATCTCATTAATTATCGATATATTATCCACTTCCTTAAATAAATAACATCTATCTGATTAATTATCGATATATTATACACTTACTCAAAACAATAACAAAAGATTAATAAACCTCGAATCAAAGGACAGAAGTTAATAACACCAAGCAGCTGTTTACGTCTCCACAGATCCATTTGCTGGACCACAACATCCTCGCCAAACTGCTAAATCTTCTTCTATCCTGTGTTGCCAGTGTCATGCGTTGGTTCATATCTTTCTTCTGATTGGTCACAGTATATAGTAGTACCAGGTCAATCTCTATCCAAGCTACTTCTTTCTTTTGGTGTCTCTCAGGGTTCCTTTCTATCCTCCATCCTGTTTGCTATTTGTAGCCCCTCAGATCCATCACTCCCAAAACTCATCTAAATAGATAATAGATAATTTCCAAACGTACACGTCCTTCCTACCTTCTAAACTGTTACAAACCACAATAAACTTCAAGAAGACTTAAATAGAATCTGTGACCAGCCAGAAGCTAACAATTTGAACATTAATGTGGCTAAACGATAATCCCATAAAATTTTATCCTACATTAAAAATCTTAATAATAATCTATGATCAAACTCATTCCTCAAAAAACCATACATCCAATATTTTCTGCCACGTCTTTTTCAACATTAAAGCATCTAAATTATCTCCATCTTCTGTTTCTATTAGAACCCCCGTAGGCTCCTGCTTATTTCCTTAATATCTACCCACTTTGACTACTGTTGTATTGTATATGGGAGGTATTTCTTAGAATCTCAAAACTAAGGCGTTTGATAATTTTCTTAGTATGATTCATCTTCAGGATTCTGAGGAAAGCCTCTGCCTCCCGTTTTTAAGAAGCATTGAAGTGGCTTGATTCACCCTACCATCAAAGTATATCCTGATATCACCCCTCTTTGAAATCATCCAATCACACTGGCCCTCATACATCTCCGAGCTCCTTCAATTCCACAACATTTACATAGAACGGCCCACCCAACCATGGCTTTCAACAGATCTTTCTTAATTTGATTCTCGTCCCTATGGAACTCCATTCCTTACTATATTTGTCAATCCAATACTTCCTCTCCTCCCCTTTAAACCCCTTCATATTCATTCTCTTCCTATACATCCAATTCCAAAAAAATTAAAATATTTAATATAAAAAGAAATTGTATTTCTATAAACATGTATATAAATTATTAGTTTCAATTATTAATTCCCTTTTGTTTTTATACATTAATATCTATTTGTTTATTTTGATATTCTTTTTTATATAACACTGAGGCTCTAAAGCCTATAATTCTGTTATTGTATTTTATTCTAAAAGAACTTGTTCCCGAATAAATAAAGCATATTATTATATCAGTAAAGATGTTAATAGAGTTCTTTACTTTTCACCTTCCTCTTAGCAGCAACTTTGACTTGATATATATATATATATTTATGTATGATATGATCTGTATGTACAGATGATGTCTATGTATATGTATGTACCTTCTTCAAATGATGTCTATATCTGTTAACAAAGAAAAGACAAGAAAATATATATGTGTTTACTTTTCTTTTTCCTCTTGGCAGCAGCTTTGACAGCTGTATCCTCTTCAGACGATGCGGCTTTTTTTTTCTTCTCCTTCTCCTTAGTCTTTTTCCTTCCACCTGTAAAATATTAACGATATAATTAAATATTTACTTATCAATTATGCCTGACAAAAACAGTTATCATCAGGCAAGTTTTTCAAGAAAATAGTACAAAGGTCAGCATAATATGAAGTTGTTAAAAAAAAAAAAATATATATATATATATATATACACTTAATTTAATTTTTTTTTATTATTGAAATTGATAAAATCTTAGAAATTTAACAGTATCTTAAAGGAAATAATGTGGTTGAAAATTTCATGAATTGGAACACCTACAGTAGCAATTCAAGGAATACTTTTATTTAAGGTCAGAAAGTCTCAGATCCATTTATTAGGGTCTGAAATTATTATTAATTAGTTTTAAAAAAAATCACAATAACTGTAACTGCATAATTTTTATTTTTTAAATTTAAAGATAACTGTTATGGAAGAATTTTATTTAAAAAGATTACTTGATAAAATTTTTTGAGAAACTTTGATTAATACTTACTCTTTTTAAAAATTCTAGATTAATTTTAATTTTATAAAACAGATAAAAAAAGTTTGGAGTTAATTGGATTCTAATTTTTGAAATTAGCATAGGCTTTGTATAAGAGCTGGCAGAATTAAATGAGTGAGGCACATAAGTAGGAGTGACTTACTATATTTGGCAGAAATGACATCCTCAACATTTAAATAAATTCTACATGAGTACAGATATAACTTTTCCATTTAGTTTTTATTTATTACAGTTTTTTTTCCGACATAATGCACCGCGGCCTCAAGAAGGTCTATTGTGTCATCTTAAACTCAATTAAAACAGGCCAGATGCCTTTGCGAACCTGTTAATACTAATAGGATCAATTAGTTCCCAGTGCTTGGGGTCAGTGATACGATCACATCCAAAGTAAAAGTATCTCAGCCAAGCCAAATTATCACATCTACAAATAATGTGATAGGCCACATAACCTGCAGAGGTGGAGGTCTCAAGGGGGGGGGTGGCCGAATGGGCTAAAGCGTGTGCACAGCACAGCGAGTTGCCTGGCAACTGGATTACAGATTTGAGAAGATTTAAAAAGTATGAGTTCGCGTCCCGGTGACAGAGGGAATTTTAAATTCCCCACCCTCACCCTCTGGCCCGGGAATATCCCGTATAGCCTAAAAGGCAAGGTAGGGAAGAACAAAAAAAAAAAAAAAAAAAAAAAAAAGGTGGAGGTCTCACTTATAACCAAATTAAAAAGGTGCTTATTTAGTTGACAGGCCCTAGGAACAAGATAGAATGAGTTTGTTCCCTAGCCTGTTCCAAACGTGGCCTGAATTTGTCAGCCACGATTGCCTTAATGTGCGTTTTCAATAAGCCAAGACTTATTCTACAGATGGGCTCTGGTGCAACTGCCACTTAAGCAGAGCCTTTCTTATCAAGGCAATCGGCTTTCTCATTTCCTGGAATGCCTGAGTGCCCAGGCACCCATTCTACCCTTACCTTATTGGTACTACAAAGAAGGTTCAGATTGCCATTACATTCATCCATCAACTTAGATCGAGTTGCATAAATATTCAGGGCCCCAATTGCTACTGGACTATCTGTGTATATTGTTATCATTGCCCTCCCTTATAAGTGATTGAGCACAGAATTAGATATTGAGATATCAATATTCCCTAATTTGGTTTATCCTTTCTTCAGACACCAGCTCCTGATCCTTGCTCCATCAAGGATCTGTCGGTATAACAGTAAACTCCATTGCACGGTCTATTTGAAAGTTATTCCTGCCTATCGTAAAATTATACAGTATATCTCTATACTTATCTACTTGAAGGTCAGAGTTCATTGCAAGCACCTCATTCCCATCAATCCTATCAAAAACGATCCCATGACACTGAAACGTCAGTAATTTTTAACTCGTTTCCAGTTTATCCAATCTATAGGCAGTTCTAATAACATGTGCTTCCACTTCTAAAAGCAATGGTGTCAGATTCAAGAGAACCTCCATTGCAGCAGTGCTCATAGATTCCAGTCATCATAAGACACGCAAGCCTTTGAACTTTGGCAAGCAGCATTTCAGGGTTGCTTGCAGCTGCCCTATGCCACCACACAAACGTCGCATAGAGGATTAAGGGTGTAATCGCAGTTCTGTGTAGCCATAGGGCCATACTGGGTTTCAGCCCTCACGATTTGACAAATCTTCTGCACACCCATAAACAGCATATAGCCTTACCAATAATCTTCTCAATATGACAGCCAGTTTAACTTACTATCTGAAGGAATCCCAAGATGTTTGACTTCGCTACAGATAGTTAATATTGACCCATTTAGTGATGGTGCTCTAATATTGATATTCCTTCTGTTAGTAAAGGTACATAGATTTATGCCAAGGCCATTATCTTGGCACCAATCTTTCAAAAGTCTCATAGTGTTTTCGAGTAATCCAGAGATAGTATATAGAAATTTATTCCCAATCAGTACAGTGATATCGCTAGCATATCCCTGAGAATAAAATCCCACAAAAGTGGAAACAATACAACCCAAAACAGGTTTAACTCACAGTACAGAATTTATTACAGTTAATCAAAGTAATAACGCACTGCCATGTGATTACCAAATAAAGTACTGATACAGACTTTTTCCAAATTTTTGAGCATTTGAGGTACTTGTGAATTTTTAGGATAATGGGGTGTTTAAAGTACAAGTCATTTATACTTTAATGAACACAAAGAGTCAATTGTGTTTGGAGTTATCATCATACAGAAGTTCAATAGTACATATGCTGCATAATTTATGAAGTTGTATTTTATGTGTTCAGTAGTGGGTAACAAAGGAAGACGCTGAGGTACCATCAGATTTCAAACCATCAGTATAAACTAAAAAAAAGTTCTGGGATACTTTGAAGGTGATGGAGAACTCGGATTTGTACTCAAAAGATAAGGTTTTGCTTTTGAGTAGTCGAGAGTCATGGGACATTGTTTTTGGAAGTATATAGATCCACGGCGGGTTTTGTATTTATGTTTTGTCTATAGGTATATTCTTAAGATATTGAGATGATGAACAAATTCTTTCTGATGGTGGGTGAGTAAAATTAGGTTTGTTAGGTTCCATAACATTATAAACTTAATGTAGTGCAATTTCTTCCATGGTATAAAGTTCTTAAGACAACGACTACAAACGTATAAGAATCAAAGCTTTATATTAGAAGTAGAGATGACATCGTCACTAAAACTAATATTTAATTAAAAAGATTTGTAATATCATATGTAAAATCAAGAAAAGAAAATAATAATAATAAGATCAGTACACTCACGCTTTGTTGCTATCTGCTCCTCTTGAGTTCTAGTCGTAGTAAGAACTTTGTCATGGATTTCAGATTCGAACCTAGCCAAATCTGAATCTAATCTTCTTATATGCTTATCAACCTAAAAGCACGAGAAGTGCATTGGTATAAAAACCTTGTAGGTAACAATTGAATAATATGGCAATAGTAAGATACAGGCTGTTCTTATCTGAAGTATTAAATAGCATTTCGATACAAATCGGCATTTGTATCCCATTAACATAAAATAATTTGAAGTTATTTCTTCGTAACACTACAACAATTAAATATAATTGAGTTAAGTGCTAGTTCCAAAAAAAATTAAAGCTTATCATGGTATTTTGTAGATTGTTAAGGTATTTAATAATTTAGTTTTTTTTTTAAAGGAAAAATCTTAGCTTAGTACTGACAGGAGTAACAATGTTTATTTTAAAGATAGTGATATGGCTCTGATCACTGTATACAGCTATTAAGGATATTGTGTTTAAGATGAAAATATCAAGTTCACAAAAGCAACATAACTAATCAACGGTGGAAATGAAAATGCTTGTATCAATTGTCAAAAGACAACCATTGTATCAAAAAATTAAAATAAATAAAAAATATGTCTTTTGTCTCTATGAAACCACATGCTGTCAATAATAACAATAGAAGTTTTAAATATTAAAAGTGCAATTGCTGAACACGATTGAAATTCATCAAGTAATAAGATAATAGTGAAGAAATTAACTTTTACTAAGATATATCTGTTATTACCATGAAATGTAACTTAAATTGAATTAAAGGTTATTCAAATGTGAACAAAACTGAAGGACTTCATAACTGTAAAATATATCTATACACAAAATATAACATATGAGTACCAGTTCATAAGTCTGTATGGCCAGCTGCACTTTATCATCACCATATTCCTTTGCTTTATTGTATTGTTGCTGAATCTCGCTCATCTTCTCTTTCTTCTTTTCACTACTCATAGATTTGAGATTAGTCATAAATTCATCTGCCATTTGGTCAATGTTGCGCATTACAGCCTGAGCTCTTGTGTCTAGATCCCTCATTAGGGTAAAGTTTCTTTGCAATTCTATCGGTAAGTGTTCTAAACCTTAAATTGAGAAAAAAGTATCATTGACAATACTCAAAAGTTAAGATAATGACAGCAAATCAGTGCCATCAGAAACATAACCAAAGATAATTATGGTGATATATTAAAACTTACTGTCTAAATAATGTTCTAGATATAAAGCCGAAGTCATTATTAAAAAGGCCTTAACACTACATAAAAAATTAAAATATTGATTCCTCTTGTTACAGGAAAAGTTGGAACATGGCATAAAGGTGTTCCTCTTGGAGATGTTTATTGATTTGTGGGTCGAAAAATTTTATTATTTAAGCAGGTCCCGGTGGCAATTGATCCAGTAATTACACAACCAAATTTAAAAGCTAGTCCCGATATCGACCACAACAAAACAAACCTCTCAAACTATCTATAACCTGAGGGTTTGCAACCTTGAGGAAAATAAGTAACCTGGAAAATGTATTTTATTTTCAAGAAATTTAATAAAGGTAGATTTATTAACTATATAGTTGACTCATACGAACTCATAAATTGTTTAAAACAGTAGATATAGCTTTGAAAGGAAAAATGATCTATTCGATTTTTTCCCCCTTAAAAATATAGCAACAAAAACACTTAAAAAAAATTCAAAATATATTTTGTAAACTCCAAAAATTTGACTGAAACAATATTAATGAAAAAATTCCAGGAAAAATAGTTTCTTATTTATGTACCTGGAATTACATTGAGGCGGGAAAATAGATAACAGTTTAATCACGGTAACTGCTCCTTAGAGTAACTATAGACTGATAATGAAGTTACTTCTGTACAGTTCCTCGATTCTGTTACAAACGACTTTGTTAATTAATACATCGGACCTGTAAGATAAGTCCATTATTATACAAGACGTAAGCTTAGCAAACGGCAGAATTAAAGGGTCGCATGCCGTACTCACGTATCCAAAGTAATTACAGTTTTAAAAACCTAAACTAAATTTTATTTGGGAGAAAACTGACTTCATACTCAAAAACGCTCATAATAATAAAAATAACGATATATAATTTTTTCGATGGAATAAATGAAGTTTTTTCGTGTATTCATATTCTAAGTTGGATTTCCTATTAGAAAACGATGTTTTAGAAAATCTAAATGTTGAAAAATTAAAGAAAGTAAAACAATAATAATAACATGTCTTTTTACATTCTGAATATTTTCACTTGATTTGAAGCTTTACCAATAATCCCCAATAAGCTCCCCAAATTGGTAAAATGTAACCATGGCTTATCAAAAAAATGTTTAAAAATTACCTCTAAAAGTATTATTGTTCGTGTAATTACATTTAATAGTACTTAAAGAATCACTGAAACAAGATTTCATATAGGTAGATATATTATTTCTTAGTAATTATCGTTACATATATAAAAAAAAAAAAAAAAAAAAAAAAAAAAAAAAAAAAAAAAAAAAAAAAAAAAAAAAAAAAAACGGTACTTCTTGTCTAGGGGGCCGCTACTGACTGCTATCTGCCAATGTTTACAACCTGGACACTGATAACTCCCATAACGCAGTGATAAGCCTTCTCCTACTTCATATCTTCATATTATTGTATTAAATTCGTATTATTGAAAGTGTAAACAGATACAAAAACAAATGTAATAACAAAAAAAAAACTTTTATTTGACGACACATATATTAATGAAATAATAAAAAAACAATTTAAGAAGATATGTACATATAAAACATCAAAATGAAATAATAAAAAAACACATTTAAAAGAACATATTTACATAGAAAAGAAAAAAGATAAAACATTCATCTGTTTCTCGGCAAACTCCACCAAACATCCACTGCTGAGGTAAAACTCTCCCCACATGATTTTTTCTTCTAGAAAAAGACTTTCGTCTACTTCAATCACTTTGCCAGGTCCTCCAATTTTTTTTCTTGGCCTGTATAACATGTCATGGGCACAAACCTCTCTTAGACATTTGTTCCACGTTACCATACCTCCGTAGGATAGTTTCAGCTGCTCTTTGCCCCACTTCATCGTTGTCAAGCTATGGGACCATACATAAATCAATTTTAAAGATGTTAAAAACGAAATCCTCGAGCCCTCCAACCATGTTCCTTTCCTTATTGAAAGGTTTTGTGTCATAAGTCCTACGAAAGCATCTCCATTTGGCCTTCCTGGTTAACTTCATTCGATGACCTCGTTCACCAAATTTCACGTCGGCAAGTACCCCAACATTTTGAAAATATTGAATTGCCTGTTCTTCTGAAGGCGGCAAATCCCATATTCTAAGAAGATCCATAATATGACGAAAATAAACGGGAAAAAATGAAAAATAAACACAAAAGGTGCCACAAACTAAAAAAAAATGTAAAATAAACACAAACGGGCCAAAAACTAAAAATAATGAAAAATAAACACAAACGGGCCAAAAGTAAAGAATTTAATAAGGGAATAACTGAAAACTAAACAATGCAATAACTCAAAGGTTTGGCGGGATAAGAAGAGGGAGGTTATGTGACGTGACGTTAGATAAGATAGATAAGAAGTGACGTTTCGTGCCGGCCCGCTAGATAAGAAGTACCAAAAAAACTTTCGAGCTGAAGCCCTCCCAAAACTAAATCCTGGATCAGCTAATGGTCCCACTTTGTGACAAATAGTCGCAGCATTACTTTATTTATTATTATTGTTGAAATCAGTCCCTGTGTGCATTATTGCTTAGGACTGCTTTTGATAACTCAGTGTTAACTGAGTTATCAAAAGCAAATATACAGCAAAGACCTAAATTAGTCCAGTGAAAAAGGATGATACTTATATCATCCTTTTTCACTGGACTAATTTAGGTCTTTGCTGTATATTTGACAAAACAACATGGGTAAACCAGTCAATATTGTGTCAGTTTAAAAAAGAAAACACCATTATATTACATTCTAATACTTAGCTAACGACAAATAGCTTATAAATTATAAATTGGTTGTTGTAATACTCAGACTATTGCACAAAGGTTTAGAAAGTTTTAAATAAACCCCGTTCAGATCGGCCATAAAAATTAAACTGGAGGGAAGAAAGGTATTGTTGAGCAAAATCGCACTTAAGAATTGTTTCACGACGATCAAAAACCACTTGGATCAGTTTTTAAACAATAAACTGCAGACATTCATGGATCATGTTAGTGGAAATATGGTTAAAAGTCATATCAAATAATGGTCAATATATTGTAGATTAAAATAAATTTTATTTCATAAAACATTGAGTTTTATTTCATCTTGAAAAAGCGAAAGAACTTATTTGCCAACCCAATATGTAGGAGAGTATATTTGGTCTTCTTGCTTTTCTGTCTTTCATTTAGGGTGATACATTAGGAGGGCACATTTGGTCTTCTTGTCAAACTCGATTTGATGACCTCCTAGTAGGAGGCTCCTACACACAATTTCATCTTTGGAATTATTCCGAACTTCTGAAAGTATTTGACAGCTTCTTCTTCCTAAGACGGCAATTGCTGAAGTGTTATTACATCCATTTTAAATAGAATATAACAAAACTAACAAACATAAAAAAGAACTGAATACAATTGAGTAACGCACAAATAACTAAACAGTGACGAGTGATAAGAAGAGGATCTCTGGAGACCGGCTAAATCACAAATACCGAACATTCATCAAATTATTCATTTAATTTTCGAAAATGTCAGATGATGATATTTATTATTTTAAAATATAATATCAGATCTAGAGCTATTAAACTACAGTAAATATGTTTAAGGTTATAAATACATTTTACTTCTTCTTTCACACAGCACAGTAAAATAATTTTTAAACAGTGCCATAGCCTTCATAATGCAAATTTTATATATTTTTCAAACTTGAGCATGCTTTTAAAATTTACATTTTGTTAGAAAGTTCCATTTAATTTCCTTGGAAACATGTGGTTTCAGATAAATAATTTTAGGTTTCAGTAACTATTATTTATAATTTTTTCATCACTCTTCATTACCTTTTTCGTTACTCCTAACAATAAGACATGGATAATTATTTAAAATAAACCAAATTAAAGGTACTTTAGATGAAGAAATATTGAACATTGGGTATTTAAGCCCTGTAAAGTGACATGAATGGTGATAAGACCTGAATGATATTAAAGACCACTTAATTATTCAATGATTCACCGATTTTAATCAAAATCGTTAGTGCCGTTATTGAGAAAATTGTAAAAATTAGTATAATCGTTAAAAAAAAGTGCCACTTCCGATTTTAAGGAAAAAGTTGCCGTAACATCCCAGCCATATAATAATAATAAGGCTTAGCGAACCCGAAGGTTCGATGCCGACACCACCAATCGAACATCCCAGCCATATACCTCTCTTAAATACGTTAGACTATTCCTTATTGAGCTAGATTGTTCACATTTTGCGGGACTTTGTTATTTGGACTTAAATGATCTAAAAACGTGTATTTCCATTGAAAACTCATGTTATTACGATTGCAATACATTTCCTTCCTACACAGGGTGTCCCGTAAGTAGAGGGAAATTTTATAGGAGTGATAGCGCAATTAAAGGCCAACAAAAAAGTTTTGATGAATAGGAATTAACAATTATTTCACTGTAAACTAGATAAAATGTTCTTCAAATGAAAATATAATTTGACACTGTTAAAACCATTTAAAGGACTTTTGAGCGGCTAAACTTATCTAAGTTCTGTTTTAAAAAAAAATCATAAATTATTGGCGATTTTTTGTAAATCATTATCTAACTATACTACGGATACCCCACCTTTTGAAAAACTTCTTCCTTAATATAATATAAAACTACATCCAACTGTTGCTAAGCTTTTATTTAATGTTTTTTCATGATCCATTTTTTAAAATAAATATAATTGCTTAAATCCACTTTTTATTTATAAATAAAATAAAATAATAATAAATATTTTTCATGTAAAGTATTTACGAAACTGTTTTCCTCCCTGATCTCCGCCATCGGAATTGACCCCTATTTATAAATGACAAATTTGAGATTTGGAAGAAAAATAAAATTTCGTAAACACTTTACATGAAAAGTATTTAACAAATCATTATTATTATTTTTTTTTATTTATGAATAAAAAGTGTATTTAGGAAATTATTTTTATTACGATATATCCCAGATCATAGAAAAACAAGAAATAAAGGCTTTGCAACTGTTAATTGTGGCCTATTTTGTTGAAAAAAACAGGTACTTTTACTAGCCCTGGAGCCAGGGCCCAAGAATCGACCTCATCGCAGGTTTGATTGTAAATTACGAAAGTGTATGTTATTATGAGTAAAAAAAAACCTTGTCTGCCGTTCCAGAGCCGCTGTTTTCGAAAATGGAGGCTGATTAAATTACTATAAATAGCCCTGTAACTTGGAAATTAGTTCCCTAAGAGGAAAAACCAATAGAATCAAAGATG